AATTTTCAAGTGGATATGACTCTCGTATTTCTCTCTCTCTCTCTCAATGCAAAAAAGATACTTATTATGATAGAATTATTCGATGAATGAATAACTATTTAGGTAAAACATTTTTGATTGATTTTTATGATACATCCACATATAATTACGAACCTGTCTGACCTCCGCTGGTATACATTGATTTTTATTGAATGTTCATGCAATATGATTTTTTTTTAAACAAGCATTCCAATCCATTTTGTATTCTGGATGCAAACACAAAGTTGATTTTTATTATTAATAGGTGTTAGCCTAAAATAATAATACAATGGTGAATGCCGACAAACACTAGAAAATTACTTTTATGCTTATTTTCACAGATGAATTATGATTTGAATATTTTCTTGATAAAAAAAATACCAGTGTAAATGATAAAAAAATCCTATTCATTTAGCAAGACTGTCTTTTACCAATTAATAATCGTAACAGACCATGGCACATTAAAGAGTGTGTTATACCTAATCGTTGAATAAATATCAGATAATACAAATTGTTTTATGTAAGAAAAATGTAAAAAACAGGAAATTTAGAAATACAATTCATTTATTTATTGTCTAAAGTATGCATAAAAAGCAATGTGTTATACTCTTGTAATATGAATGTTATCTACTTGGTCGGATTTAGTTTTTCGGCGCTGAAAATACTTTGGTCATTTATAAATACAGAAATCTCTGTCTAAAATCCCTTTGTTTCAATACATAATATTTATTTTCCCAGTTTTATATAATGATCCAGTATAAGTGGACGAACTGCAATTGATAACGAAGGTAAATGTCGACAATAAATTATAATCTGATTATGTCTATTCATATTTTAGTCTATTCACTGTACAAATATACAAGCAAACAGAGACTGATCACTTACACTCGAAAACATCAATGGGAATATTGAAATAACTAATACAAATGAATTATTCATCACCTCATTTCACAAGCCATTGGCTCTTTGGACTCAGTAGCTAAGTAGATAATGTGATGGCTTTTGAAGCCAACGGTACTGAGTCCGAGTCTCGCTGCGAACACCAACTCTGATCTGGAGAGACATCTAGCTGATGAGTCCTGAACAGAATGAAATGTATGTCCTGCATTTCACGGCTAACCACTGTCCATCTGTGTGTTGCAATGCTTGTAGCTTAATCAAGACAAGCCTCGCAAGATTCACGTATACCGAAATAAACTGGTCGACTGCAGTCCTAACTATCAACCGAAGATTCAAGCAACCAGTATGCTGGAATACTTCGAATAATGCAGCTATCGAAACCCACCTTACTATACCCAAAAATAAGATGTGTTTTTCTTGAGTCAGATTATTTTTAGTTGTGTCTACTGTGATAATCGGCATTGATTTTGGACCATATAATTAAGTGCGTTCGGCATATAAGTAGCAAGCTGACTCCTTATATGACCTTAAAAACAAAAATTATGTACCCTAATTTAGAACTAGTAATTTACCAAATAAGATAATTTAATTAACTTCTTAACTAATGACGCAAACAAACTATAAACAATCAAGATTTTTAGAGTCATTGTTTGACTTCAGAAATGGAATTTTCTGCATTATGCGCATACCGGGCAACGAAAAAACTTTAATTCTAAATGAAATTATGCTTCATGTTGAGGTTATTGGTCGTTAAAAGAGAAACTGACCAATCTTTTCTCATGAATCAAATTATTTACTTCTATAAAATGAAATGAAATATTAGTAACGGAAAATTATTTTTGTGATGGATCACCTCCTCCGGCAAGAGAAATCCATTTACGATAATAATTTATAATCTACAGGAACTAGTATTCGATAGGTTTCTGGAAAAGCTGTTATAAAAGGTATCAAGACTTCACAATGTAATTGCAAGTTTGAAAAGTCAACCAATGTTTTCTCAATAATATCGCACTGTTAACCTTTGATTTATTTAGATGACTAAGATATTACTCTAAAAAACTGGTCCAAAGTAATATAAAGTACATTTTGATACTTGATGATATTCTCCGTCTCTATAAGCAGAAATGCATGGTGGCTAGGAATGAAATCTAGAACGCGCGTATAATCTTATTTCGGACTTATCAGCTGAACCTGAACTCAGTACCATGTGCTTGAATGCTATCACGTAATATCGGAGTGAATATCAACGCAGGGAGGCAGATACATCCAGCTGACGAGTCTCAAATAAAATAAGAAACACGTCGTGGATTCCAATGCTAGTCACGATACGTTTCTGCTTAAAATGGAAACTTCGAGGCGATCCGCACAGGATGCACTCATGCTAAAATTTACTTATCAGTTACAGCCCTAAAATATCGATATTCTTAGCCAAATTGTAAAAAATAACAACTGTTTTGTAGGTCTGTTACGAAACTGCGTACAGCTATCATATCTGTGGTTTTTATTGTGATGTATTAGTAAGTATAATAATGTGAATTGTTTTCTATGAACGTAAACTCCAAAGTAGTATTTTTTGCCAACCTTCGAACTTTATTCAACTCTACTTTTCACTCCATTGTCATCTACATTTTTGTAATTCGTAAATGGCTCTCACTTTGTTTTTCAAATATTCTTCGCTTAAAACAGAAATGGTTTTCGACTACAGGATTTAGCAGATATCTATGACTCATAACTAAAATTTTTTTCTCAATTATAGAAAAATGATAATTTTATTTCCAGCTTGTCGGGGAGAAGCAAAATTTAAAAATGTGATTTATTATTTCTTATTTTGTGAATTAGGTCACTTAAGGTTATTTTAAATTTTTTTAAAATATGTAATTATTTAATTCCTAATCAATATTTTTAAAATCAGGAGAGTTTTTTTGTCCATTGAAATCATAGGTGTGATAATATTAATAGCATGTGAGAAGTAAATGAGACAATAAAATTGTTTAATATAATAATAATGATACTAATCGAATCGGATTAGAAAAATTTATGCTATTGAAGAGACTTAATACAGCAATCACAACTGATGTGTTCTTGTTTCTGCATTTAAGCAAGTTAAGAACACTACTGTTCTCATTTATACCTCGTATTAAATATTTCAATATACAAACTTGTTGTAATATATTTCGGCTATGAATGACACTTTATGTATCCAGTGGTGATCATGTAGAAAGTAAATGAAATCTATAATTAAATATTTTAAACTGGTTAGCAAATTATTGTTGATATTAAAATAAATTCACTCAACGTAATATTCAAACATCGTGTATACGGGCTGTTGAAGAGTTTTGACCAAAAAAAAATAATTTTGTTCGACTGTCATTTTAGATTCAGCAAGTCTGCAACGAAACGTTAACATCGATTCAGTCAATGTCATTTGTTGCTTTATTTAAACTTGTTCTCAGTTAATCATCATGGGGATTATACTTCAAACCATATTGAAAGCGTTTTCCTATTGTTCATAAATGTCAGAAAATGGACGAACTAATGAATGTCAGAGGATAAATTTTCATTACAAATATATATAAATATTCATTCAAATGAGCTGTTTTTCATCCAGCTTTAGTAGACATTCGACTAGTAGATTTTTTTATTCCTCTCATAGTTGATCGGTTGGTAAAATCAGTAGTACTTATAAATCTCTGTACATTATTAATAGAATCTGAAAATTACAACCAACACCACATTGCTTTTTATAAATTTCCTCCAGTTATAGTGTTTTATCAGTCATAAATATAATGTTCACTTATGCAATATAAATAGATTCTGTACTGTCCATTATGAAATGTTAGTTTAGCAATTTGTAAAGAATCTAAATGCAGTAAAACCAAACATCTATCGGTTCTATTCTTCTTTTGGTAACGGCGAGGTAAACTACACAAAGGCATGAAAACGTTATTCTCATTGAAGAAAATGAAAGTTATGTTGTTGAAGGTCTAAATATTCATCATGAAAATCAATAAAAAGTCATAGTTGGAAGTAAAATATGGAAATCATAGAGCACAGAGATAAATCAGTTAGAAGTAGAAAGTCTGCTGAGAAGAAGATAGAAAGGAAAGCAGATGACTATTAAAGAAGAAATGAAAAAAAAGACTTTGGTGGAAGAATATGTGATTTTATTAGTGGTTTTCAGTTTGTGATGAAAATTATTTTGAAGATCCTAAATGTATTTTTCATCATCGTATGAGGAGTGGTTATGAATATCTGTATCTGTGTTTGTAAATAAACTTTTGGTTATAGAATTGAGTACGAGTAGCTTTAAGAACAATGTCTTATTTAACAAACTTTGTATTAGCTTTGTATCATTAAAAAATCTTTAATGTTAATAAATGTACGCTCTTTAGTATATTGAAAACAACAGTTATATATATATATATATATATATATATATATATATATATATATATATAAAATGAGTATTACTTTATTACTTTATTAATACTTCCGGTCCATATAGCTAAGTATTGGTTTATTTATGTACACGCATCTATAGAATTATGTTTTATAATTAATTTATTGAATCATTGATTCAATTAGCTTTATGATAATTAATAATCATTAGATTAGGTGTTGCTAGTCTGAACATTAAACTAGAAACATTCTATTTAACGCCTATCTTTTGAAATATTAACAATATTGGCTACGATTATAAATGGCTTATCTAAAAGATCATGCTGATAAGTTTTTTATAGTAATCCGTAATAATTATCAGAACATGTTTCATCTTAAAGCGAGACATCATATTTTGTAGTTGAAACCATTAAAAAATTATTCACTGGTTCTAGGTTTTCAATTTTAGTCTAGCTAAGATCAATTCGTATCTTAACCAATAAAAATCCTATTATTCTCAAAAATGCTCCAGTACTGAAAATTAATTTTAATTTGTGAGCATTTTAGTTGGGTATGATCTCATAAAATATTCCAGATTGTTTCTGTGACACTGAATTTTTCTATCAAACAACACTTTAAATATTTTAAACATTCAACTTACATTGTAATCACCGCATCACTTAAATACAAAATTATTTACTTACCGGAATGGTTGAACATGTTATCATGTTTTCTGAGGGTAGACTGGTGTGATAATTAATTTTTTTTTCATTCATCGAATGCATAGTATTCATAGATCGAAGTCCAGTATTATTAGGATCTATTGTTACAAAATGTGTTGCACATGGCAAAGAATATATTTGATCATGTTGTTGATTTGACTGTGTGATTTGTTCATGTGATTGTGTTTCTTGTCCATAATGTAAATAATGAAAATTATCATTTTCTGAATATTTCAATAGTGGATTTGATGACTGTACAGAACAGCAAGTTGCTGTCTCACCGGTATTACTGGTAGAAAAGTTATTTTTCTTGTTATCATTATTACTCTGATTGTGATCATCATTATCAGTGTAATTATGTTTGGTGCATACTGAAATAAGATCACATGGTAGAAGATATGAATTCCCGGGATCGTTAGGTTCATTATGTTCTCCAGTTTGTTTACGTTCTTGTGGTTGCTCAGAATGTACTGAAGTATAACGAATTTTATCTAATGCAACATAATTATTATCATTAACACTTGTAAGTTTATTTCTATGAAATAAGCCAGTGGAAAATCGTTTCCTAGATTTATTTTTTTCAAATTCATTTTTATGCCCTACCGATGATGCATACAAATTGGGAGGTTTGATACCGACTACATTAGTTTGACTACTTGGTTTGTTGATGTTTTTATTATCATTATTACTGATATCATTGTCATGTAAATTATTTATGGTCTCAGAGTTGAAATTTAACTTTTCACATGGATTGTTACCTTTCATGCTACTATTTTCATTGCTAGATATACTACCACAATTACTGTAATAATAACTTTTATCATGAACTTGATCAATTGCATTGTCAGTACTAGTAGAATGGTATGCTCTTTTAAGCTTAGATTTTGAATTTATCTGAGAGATTTTTATATTTTGATTGTTTTCTTGTTGAGTATTCTCACTTGATAACATGGATTTGGAAGTGTGATCTGTATTTTGGTTACTATAGTTAATGACAGCATTATTTATACAGTTAGATCCTACACTCTTTCTATGGGCCCTTTTTAATCGACGCTTAGAACGTGCCCACAATATTGCAGCTGTCAATGTACAAATAACAGTGATAGCGAAAATTGCCAACAGCAAAGAAATCACAATATTACTGATATTCATATCAATAGGTAGACGTACTGCATCCGATTTCGATGTATCTAAAAAATGTGCAGACCATAGAGAATTTGTTGAATTATGAAAATTTGGAAATAATAATTCCATATCGTTTGCTGAATCAGCTGGCCACATGTTGTGTACACTAGGCGGTAGGATTGGATCAATAACTTTAACATAAAACCACGTGTTTGTTTGTAACGGTGGCTTACCATTATCAGTCAGCTGTACACATAGATGATAAGTTCCACGTCTAGCATCCGATTGAATTAACTCAGGAGTTGATAATTTCTGATAATCAATAAAGCGTGCTCGAAACTCTCCAGAAAATTCATCTAAATGAAAGTATTTCGACCCATTACAACTGGTATTCTGTTGATACGTGATGCGTCCGTTTTCGCCAGCGTCTAAATCATTCGCTTGTATTTGAAAGGCTACTCTTGAATAAATATACTTTCGTGACATCTTATCATTGATATTTTGTTTTAAGTATGTATTATTCAATAGTTTATGATTTAAAATTTTATCATGTTTCTTTGTTAATTGATAAAACGACACACTATCCCAATCAATCAATTTTATCGGTTGATAAATAACTGTTTCACCCAATTTTGGTTTCTCAATTACTGGAATGTTATCATTGATATCAAGTATATGTATTGATAATGTCGTAGTGCTTGTGATTGGATTTGGTAGACCACGATCAACAGCGAATACTGGTAAATATATTATTGAGCATTCTTCACGATCGATCGATTGTACAGATAATAAATGGGCATTATCAGTTAATTTAAAATAATGCGTACCTTCATTTAAATGATTACATTTATTTTGTACTGTGTGTTTCTCACCTGTCTTAGTTAATGATAATGAGTCAGTCAGAGTGATATGTGCTATCTGACCACCAGGTCCTGTATCAGGATCAGTAAATTTCAATAAACCTAAATCTGTACCAACTGGTGAATGTTCAGTTATACTCAAAGTTTCTGAACTAATCAGTTTTGGTCCGTTGTCATTAACATCTAATATTTGTACAATCACTGTAGCCACAGAACTCATACGTACACCATCAGTTGGTTTAGGATTATCTTCTGCTAATACTTTAAAACGCAATAAATCATTCTGTTCGTAATCTAACTGTTTCATAAGAAATATACTGCCAGTTTGGCTATCGATTTTAAAGTATTGTAACGCATTATTAGGTGATGTTTCTGCATTATGATCTATTTCCATTAGACTATAAGTAACTCGTCCATTTTCGCCACTATCTGCATCTTCAGCTGTTACAATTAATAATAATTGATTAATTGGTTCAGCTTCACTTAGTAAAATTTTATAATGACCTATTTTTGAAGAAAATGTAGATGATTTAAATTTTGGTGGATTATCATTGATATCACCTATAGAAATTGTAAGATTAAATTGCCTCATTTGTTTTGGACTAGCTTCATCTAAACATGTTATTGAATAATATAATCTCGGTGTTAATTCGTAATCAATTGATGCAGTCGTAATGACTGTTATCATCGTTTTATCTGAGGAAATAGACATTTTTAATGGAATTTGAATATTCGAATGATCAGAATGACATGTAATCATGTCACGTGATACCTCATCTTTATCACGAATCATAAGACGTAGGGCAAGTTGACCGGGTTCACTATTCTCTTTGATGGTATTATTAAATTGTACAATTAATTGTGGTGGATTATCATTGATATCCTGTAAATAAATTGTTAATTGTGCTGTGGATGAAAGTGGTGGATCACCGGTATCACAAGCAGTGAATAATAATTCTATTTGTCTTTCTTGAAATGTTTCATAATCTAAAACATCACGAACATATAATTCACCAGTAGTGGAATGAAATGTGAATTTCTCCATAACAGATGATGGAGTATTTGGATTTGCTGATGACAATGTATACTTTATAAGACCATTATCATCTGAATCCAAATCAGTAGCTTGTATTTTATAAATTGGCTCATCAAATATAGTGTTTTCTGCCACAGTTATAGAATCTTTAGATTTTTTAAATACAGGTATATTATCATTTACATCTGTAATATGTACAAGTACAAGCATTCGACCAGTTCTAGCTGGATGACCTCCATCTATTGCTTCAATAGTTAATTTGAATATACGTTGATTTACATTATCATAATCAAGAAATACACCTGGTTTAATTAAAAGACCTAATTTTTCAATACTTAAATTACTATAAATTTGGAATGTTGATATAACAGGTAAACTACCATGTATACGATATTGTACAACACCATTTGGTGCAGAATCAACATCAGTAGCTAATGGTAATCCATATATTGTTTTATGCATATTTTGAATATCCAAATCGGTATATTTAAGTCGATTATCTTCCGGTATCCATAATGAATATGTTTGTTGTGTGAAATGAGGTGAATTATCGTTAGCATCATGTATTTGTAAATTCACATGTACTGTAATTGATTCAGTGATTGGATGAAAAAATAGCACATCTACAGTTAAATTACAAACAATTAAATGACAGCAATTTAATGGTCCACATAAATGATCTTGACTATCACGATCAATTAAAGTTTGTGTATAAAAATCACCACTATCTGTTACACGAAATAACTGTAATAAAAATCCACTGGAATCAACTAATGTAGTACTAACTGACGAATTGAGTATATTTTGAAATGGAAAATTTGGAATATGTTTTGGAATGTTGCCAATATAATGACCTTGAGGTAATTCATCCGGAAGCATAAAATCTACAGTATATACATTTAATATTGACCTGTTCGAACGTAACAATAATGCTGATGATGGTGACGATGATGAGGACGAAACAAAGGATTCAGTGCGTAATAAACGTATTCCATAATTGATAAAATTTGTTTTAACGCATATCATTAATGAGGATAATATCAGTAATTTTGTCTGTAGTGTTAGTATTATAATACAACAGTGTAAAGATAGCATGACATAATCAAGAAAGCCATTAAAACTGAGGATCACTTATCTTTTATGTGCATAATTTACAATCCAAGAATTGAATAATTTTAGTTCTTGAATTATTGAACAGCACCGCAAAAAAATAACTAAATGATTCTATGAAATAGAAACGAAAATAAAATAAACTGTCAAACAAAATAATTTACTCAAATATTAAAAATTATATGCTGGTGAATTGTTTGAGAAGGAGAATTACATACCATTTTATTCCATAAATAGAGCATATTATATAAATAAGTTAAAAATTATTACATTTCATTATGAGATTACAGGATTCTCTTCTACATTGCCGACTATTTAGATGTCTACTTGATCGAAGGACTATCTATAAGAGGAGTTTGTTTTCTGGTTTCATTGTGGATCTGAAATCGTGTATTTAAATGCATTGGGTGGCTACGTTGAATTCGAAGTACAGCTTACAACTTTGGTTGCCCGCAATCTGACTCCAATGTTTGCAAACAACTAAATATGCTATGAAGTAAATCTTCCCTTCAATTTCCGTATATCATACTTAAGCGAATCTCGTTTGTGCAACGGTGGTAGTGAGAAGCCAAGTACGGATTTATTTGGATGGGTTTGTTTGTTTCTTGAGGTAGACGTGAGAAAATTAAGCGTAAAAGCAAAGTAAAGCGAAGTGGAGTGGGCGAGTGAGCTAGATAAATGCGATAAAGAATGACTTAGTTTTCATAGTTAGACGAAAATAGGGTATGGATCTGTTAAGTGAAGTAAGCCTACACTCAAATAAAAACGACCAAGGTTATGAGCGAATGATTGACGAGGTCAAACGACAGGTGAATAATGACTCGGGCAGAAAATGTTAGTTTATCTGAACGTCGGAGCAGGTCACCATATTAGTACACTTACTACAACAATTTGAGCATTACCTGGTCACTAAATACCAGGCAATTACATGTTATCTATATCACAGTACTGAATATATCGCATCTACCTACTTTTTTATTAGGCATCATTCTGAACGATTATTTGTCATGAAGCATTTTGATTCCTGTCGAATATTTGGAGCTCATAGGGAGGAAGCAATGGACCTTTAATATTTGATAGTTGATATTCACTAATAAGGAACATATTAAGATTTCACAGATATAGTACTAAAAACTTAAACCCATTTCATCTAGAGTTATATTCGAAGACAATATTAGAACTGGCAGATACGTTATGAAACAGTGTGCTAGCTGGGAAATCACATACAATCATGGATTTATTCTGGCTGTCTTCAGCCATGTAGAATTGATCAACCGTTTTTATATTACACTACTTAAAAATCCATCTCAATAAACCATTATATTTTGTTATAAATAAATTTCATGCATCATTTAAGCAACAAAATAAATGAGTAAAAATCAAGTTAATTAATTTTCCTATTTATGGTCATTTAATTTTTATACTGATCGACGAAACTGAACTATAACAGAAGTATATTACATAATGTTGATTTTATTTTATATAAGAGAACATATCTATAGAACATTTTACATGAATAAGTACTTAGGACGGTTTTCCTATATTATACTGTATTTACTGTACATATATATGACATTTTGGTATGATTAAAGAATACTTTTTTTTTCAATAGAATCATGTAATGTAAGTAATTTGACTAAGTAATTTATTTTATATCTCCATAACATAGCCCTGATACGACGACGATTATCAAGGAAAACATTTTTAGAATTTATATTCCTATCGTTATATAAACAGTCAAAACTAGACTGTATCACTTGTGACAAATAACATTATTTACTGAATGAATATTTTGCATATCACCATATGTTAAGTTGAACATATCTACAGAGAAATTTGTCTAGGAATAAATAAAGTCGAAGATCTGTTCACCTGATTTAGAAAAAAGTCATTAGATTTGGCATTTGAAATCCTGCTCCTGGAGACCAATTTGTGAATAAGGATTATTTTTTTTATTACGATTGAATAGCTATTTAAATCAAATAAATAACGTCTTATCAACTAATTTGTTGAGTAATAAATAAATAAAATTACTAGTAGTGTAAGATATCATTGCTTAAGATTTCAGTAGTGCATAATTTGGTGATAAATTTTGAACTATCATTGAGTTGTTTGATCTACCATGTGAAAGCAGTACTATTAGTATTATTTATTTTCCTTCGGATCGATATTTTATACAGGTAAAAAAGTAGACACAATACTCATTTTGTGTCTATTAGTGTCCTCTTACATTGAGGAAAAGTTCGATAATTGTATTCGCTTTCACAAAGATCTAATCGTTGTCTGAATAATCAATGAAAAACGAGCACAAAAGTCCTTTTTTGACAAAACTACAATTAATTGTTGAGTATTATTTAAATTAGAACAACACATATAAGCGAACAATATTGTTTACGATTAGATCGTCATCAGGCTTTACTCTAATATCCATGAATATTTATATGAAAATGTTAAACTAATCAAGGCGATTCTGGTCAATAATCACAATGAAATGAAACAGATTACGTCACTACACATAATAGGCAAAAGTACAGGTTGATAGTAGGAAGACAGCTGTATTGATAGTAGTAACAAAAATAAAAAACGATAACAAAATTTTTATCGATAGAAGGTCAAATGTGGATAAATAGACTTAAAATAGCACAAAACGTTAAAACCATTAGGTTTTAAAAAGAGTGCATAATTAGACAGTGAAGAATATGAAAGGGAAGAGGCAGAAATTTACCAACAAATACAGGATGTGAAAATAATGCTAATAATAAAAAAAAAAAGTTAAAAACTTTTTAAACGTTAGTTAAGTCATATTCGGCTACGGAAGAGATAGGGGTGTCTTAAATTTCTTCTGAACACATAAATTGGGGTTGAATGTACGAATTTCTATGGCTTCTGCTTCTCTGTTGGGAAATGATGGAGGTATACGAAAGATCACTCGAAACGATCCAGATTTATCTACAATATAACCACTATCAACCAAATGTGCCAAGATAGAACTGCGTATTGTTTTTAACTGGCCCTTCGTAAACCATGCTGGGAGTTGTTCACTCATTCACTGGTTAAGTTGCCTAGTAGTACGCCCGATACAGGTATCTCCACAGGAGCAGCCGAATTCGTAAATGCACATAGAGGAGGACAACTAAGGTAATTTATCCTTCGTTTGGGTAGACATCACTGGGTGACCTGAGAAGGCCAACGCAAGTTTGGTTGCCTAGGATGTTCTACGCTGCACGACAGATTAGTGAAAACGAAATGAATTCACTGAAAGAAGAACTCTTCATTCAACCAATTTTTCTCATATCTCAAGGGGTATATTTCCTTCATCTTTTCAATTTTCTTCAAATGCAAGTTAGAATTAGCGTAAAACATGGTGATTATCTAACTGAGAACAGTATCATTCGCTCTTATGTCTTACCCCACTCAAATTACTTAGCATTGTTCAAACGCTCATCAGTAATTATTCATGCTAGTAGATCATTAAACTTGGTCGATAGAATTCGAATTATTTGACGATCCAGTGCTGTGAATGATGTTTGATGGTTGAAGGCATTCAGTAGTATTCGTTGCATTTAGGCTGTGTGCTGAAGCTTGATCATACGAAAACAATTTGAGTATTTTACACTGAGTTTCACTGAATAAACCATACGTCAAAACTACTAGCCTATACCAATTTGTGAATATGATACTAAGACCATCATTATGGTTCTTCATATAACAAAAATTGTTCTAAAAGTTGCAAAGTTTATAACTTAACAAATCTTCACACAAACTCGGTCATTTCCTTGCGCAAAGGATTTATTTAATCATAAGATTTTAGTAGCTACAGCACATAAACTTTACATATAACTAGTTGTACATATTTCATATACTTACTTTGAACAAAACTAACATTTAACTATCATTATACAAGCCATTAGTGCATATTTATTGACCTAAATAATCCTCACTATCGATGCTGTTGATTATTCCCATGAAAACGCCCAGACCAGATTAATGGGAAAGATATCTAAACTGTATAGTCAATAGTAATTGGGATTTTTAAACACATAATTTCATAACCAATGTCCAGTTTTTTGTGGGTGTGTTGAAATGTGTAAATTTTCATCAAGTAATAGAATAACGCTATCTCACACTTGTTAATTATATTCGGTTAAACACAATTTATTCTTTGACTATTTTATGGGTTAGGTCAAAAATAAAATATGTGATACATTTGTTACTTTGCTACTTTAAAACATGTACAGTCAGAACTGATACCGTTTATCAATGTTCAACCATCCAATAGTTATTAATTAGTGATAAACTAATCCATCTATGGGATCAAGACATGAATTATTACAATATTCTGTTCGAAAACGAAGCACCAGAACTTTCTGTTGATATATTCATAAAGAGATGATGTCTACAAAACACTTCAGATCACAGGTATCGATGCAAGTCACTTGGTCTTCTATCATTATTAGAATTAACCGAGACATTTAGACCTCAAATGTTTAAAGGAATTCTATTGAATCTCATTGGTTTTGACAGTCGATATTCAAAAAATATTTTGTCCATGCATTGAGTACAAAACGAATAATATTAAAGGCAAGATTACTGAGTGGTCAGTGAAAACAAATGAGAAACTGTTAATGTTATCACCACTACCGTAAATCTGTAGATTCACTAAAAATATATAAATAACTCAAATGGTTTCAAACAACGAGATGTATCTAAACAACCTACATGGATGCCTGTATCATGAGAAGTTTCGCAATATGCCTTATTTTTCATAAGGTCTATACATGAGAATGCAGTACGCAGACACACATTCGATAAAAGTCTGTATCAGAATAATAATAATGAAATTTATAAAGCCGGTAGAACGAAATATTTGAACTATCATTTATAATTTTAGTCATGTAGAAAGTGTCAGGCGTTTT